ATTTAATTGCTCAAATATTTCTTAAGTTCCTTTCTATATGGGAATCTGAAAACTCCCTGTCCTTTCTTAGAAGGGAATCTCATTTTTGCAAGAAAACACTCATGTCTTTTCTATCTCACTACCAAACAGATCTAAATACCAGCTAGAATCATAGAAGCATTTGCTGTTTAAGCTTTCTTTAAATCATTTCTAAAACAGTTAGAAAGCCAGCTCACCTTGTGCTTGGGAAGAAGGTACCCTAGTGATGTCTAATTTTATGTGTCTACCTGACTGAATCAAAGCATCTGACTGTGTAACCAATCACAATTCAGGGTGCTTCTGGGAATACGTTTGGGGGTGAGAATGACTTTTAAATGGGTGAATTTTTTTTTTTGGTTTTACGAGACAGGGCTTCTCTGTATTGTTTTGGAGGCTGTCGGTCCAGCCTGGCCTCGAACTCACAGAGATCCGCCTGCCTCTGCCTCCCGAGTGCTGGGATTAAAGGCGTGCACCACCACCGCCTGGCTAAATGGGTGAATGTGGGAACACCAGACCTTGAGCAGAGACCCACTTCCCCTTCGGCCTGGGAGTAGGCAGCTGTAAGACAATGTTTACTAAAAACATGTTTACTAAAAACAATACAATGCCGGGGCAATAAGTTCCTGGAAAAGGCCTGCCCACGGAAACCGCCCTGACCTCGACCTTGTCCAAAGACTAACCGCCTCTTCTGACATGCCCAGATCAGTTTTTGGGGTCAGAGCAGAACCAGCCAGGGTAGAGAGAGCAGAGAGCCTTCTTGAGGAGCCTTCGGGTCTGTGTCGTCAATCCCCGACACCCTCGCCACATTCTCGGACACAGGCTGCGCAGCTGATGCGACAATTGGAAGTTCCACCGAAATGTGAAAGCGAGGTAAGTGGACAGGGTCGTCCCTTTTGCCAGCCAGGGACAGATGGAGGAAAATAGGAAAAGAAATGATGGGAAATAGTCCCTGGAAGTTTAAATTACAGTATCATGTAAAAAAGTTACTTAAAGAACAAGGGACTACAACCATGGAAGACTTTCTAAAATGGATTAAACGTGCGAGTCCATGGTTCATTATTGGGGGAGGCTTAAGTGTCCCAGATTGGGAGGATGTTCACCATGATTTTCAGAGCGCGGGCGCGGTGGTGCATGCCTGTAGTCCCAGCTACTCAGGAGGCTGAGACAGGAGGATCGCTTGAGTCCAGGAGTTCTGGGCTGTAGTGCGCTATGCCAATCGGGTGTCCGCACTAAGTTTGGCATCAATATGGTGACCTCCCGGGAGCGGGGGGGCCACCAGGTTGCCCAAGGAGGGTAGACAAATCCTTCTACTGTTATGGTCCAGCTTCAACAGTTCAAAAAAGAAAAAAATTTTTTAGAAAATAAAAAAGGGGGAATAATGCCCCCAGTCCCCACATGACTCATCAAATAATACACTCCTCATTTAAAAATTTTATAATGTGAATGCCAGTGAGCTTCAGACAGATTCTGGCATGATGGAACTTGAGCAACCATTGCTCAGGTCAAATGGAGACATCCATGCACTAGACAGTGGAGAAGACCCTAATTTGGGGTCGAGGGCATGTTTGTGTTTTCTTGCAGGAAAAGAATAAAGCTTCGGCAGCTGTCAGACCATTTAGTGAGATGCACGGAGCAGAGAAAAACTGGACCTGAGACCATGGGAGCCTACCTAAGCCAGTTTGAGTGAGATCTCCTAAATCAGTGTTCCTGGCCCTTGATGTCATTGAATCTAGAGCCCAAGAAAGAAAGAAAACAGTCGGTTCGAGATTTCCAGTTTCTCAACAGACCTGCTGCATCAACCTCCTGGACCCATGAGTTTTCATCGTGAAGCCAACAGAGAAAAAAGGACCCATTTAAAGCATTTGGACATTGGTATGGACTATGAGTGGCAAAAGCCTCTTCAGTATTTGAACAGGACATGGTCACTTGAAATATCAGACTTGGTGGTTCCTGTTTCTGGAATCGTGCCTAGGCCAGTGTATTTTTCTGGAGAAATGCAATTTGTCCTAATGCAACAAAAAGGAGACCTTTGGCTCAAGTCGCATATTCAGCTGAGGCTAGTGATGTTAAATGAACAAGCTGCATCACCACAGGAACAAATTGGTGCTCTGTGGATAGTGCAACAAGCCTCTTGTTCATATTTTTTATAATGTTACATGTGTAACATCAATGATTGTGCCCAATGTATCTGTGCAAGTGCACTTTCTAAATGCTTTCCTGAGCAGATCTTAAAACAATTGTAAACTTTATCAAATTGTAAATGTAAATCACATGCAGGTTACCCTTGTAACAGAATGTAAATCACGTACATGTTACCCTTGTAACAGACGAAGGCTGGTAGAATGTTATGGCTCAGATCTGGTGATGGGTATGGTGATGGAGAGGCGCTATGTCAATGGGGGTCCTGGAAATGGTGGCAGTGGCAGTAGGCATTCTGGCTTTATGCCGAGCTCAAACGTGCCTTGTTCCAGAGGCAAGAGATCCGTAACCAAGTATTGCTTAGCTTAGCCCATGGCAATCCCGATAGCCATGAAGGTTGGTTACAGATGATTTAAGGTTGGGGTGTCTCCGACGACGGGCAACCTGTGGGGAAGACCCCTCCCACCTAAGACAGGGGTCCAAGGTCCCCCGAAGACGGGCAAGGGAGGGTGACCCTACTTGACCTAAGCCAGGAGTGCCTCATTTGAAAATAAAAAGGGGTGAATTGTGGGAACACCAGACCTTGAGCAGAGACCCACTTCCCCTTCGGCCTGGGAGTAGGCAGCTGTAAGACAATGTTTACTAAAAACATGTTTACTAAAAACAATACAATGCCGGGGCAATAAGTTCCTGGAAAAGGCCTGCCCACAGAAACCGCCCTGACCTCGACCTTGTCCAAAGACTAACCGCCTCTTCTGACACGCCCAGATCAGTTTTTGGTGTCAGAGCAGAACCAGCCAGGGTAGAGGAGAGAGCAGAGAGCCTTCTTGAGGAGCCTTCGGGTCTGTGTCGTCAATCCCCGACACCCTCGCCACATTCTCGGACACAGGCTGCACAGCTGATGCGACAGGTGAATTTTAAGTAAAGCAGATTGCCCTCTATGGTGTGAGTGGACCTCATCTGATCAGCTGAATGCCTGAAGAAAATCAGATCTTCAGAGGAAATACTGTAGGAACCCACTGTTGGGTGTGAATTGGAAACACTGTAGGAACCCACTGTTGGGTGCGAATTGCTGTGTCAGCTCCTGTGTGAGTTTCTTGCTGGACAGCTCTCCTGCAGTTTTTCCTAACACATCCTGTTTACCACCCAGATTCTAGAAGTGGTAGGTGACATCTTGGCAGCAGAAGACATGTTGGGTGTGTCTGTGTGGTTGTTGGTGACTAAGAACACTTGTGGGGAAGCAATGGAGTCAGGAGAGTCAACACATGAGTTGGAATGTGTCATGGGAGGAAAATCTCTAGGAGAGTTAAGTGAAGATGTCTTGGAAGTAGCCTAAGGAATCTTATGAGCAACTGGGGGTGATGAGACACACCTATAATGATGTCACTCAGAAACTCAGAAGAGCTCAGAGGAGTACAAGTTTGAAGATAGTCAGCGCTACATAGTGAGACTCTCAAAACCAACAAAATTTGATCTAATTTGAAGTACATTGAAGTGTGCTTGTGTGTGTGTGTGTGTGTGTGTGTGTGTGTGTGTGTACTCACAAGCATTCATCCATCTGCATGCATGTGGAAACCAGAGTTTGACATAATGTGGTCATGTTTTACTGGTTTTCACCTTTCTTTTTGTGACAGGGCCTCTCACTGAACATGGAGCTCTAACTATTTAGGCTAGCTGACCAGTGAGCTCTGGAGATCTGCTCCAGTCTCTGGCCCCAGCTCCTGGGACTACAGACATGCATTAATGCACCCAATTTTCTTATATGGGTACCGGGAATCCAAGCTCAGGTCCTCATGCTTTGACAGAGCATCTGCCCAGGCTTTTATGTTTAAGTTTCATTTCCTGGTTTCATGGTATATTTCCTAATACTTATCTATTTTTAGCATGTGATTCACCAAAGAGAGCATTGGATCTCCTGGAAGTGGAGTTACAAGTCTGTGAACCCCCATACAGGCCCTGGGAATTGAACCCGGGTCCTCTGCAAAATGCATCCAGTGTTTTTAAACACTGAGCCATCTCTTCAGACTCTCATAGCATATTTTTGATGTGCTCTGTATGTTTTTTTGTATTTATCTATTTCATGTGTCTTCATATTTTGCCTGTATATATGTCTGGGTGGGTGTGTCAGATCTTTATTGGCAGTTATGAGCTACTATGCGGGTGCTGACAATTGAACACAGGTCCTGTGAAAGAGCAGCTAGTGCTCTTAACCACTGAGCCATCTCTCCAGCCCCTTTGTGCGGGTTTTTTCTTCTTTTTTTTAATGTTAGGCCATAGAGGACCAGAAAACTACTAATAAGCCATATTTGTCATGCTAGTGCTAATATGACAATGCAATACATCATATCCACCTGTTCTCCACCATCAATGACAGCTCTGGCCGCTCACAAAAAGGATTAATCTTGCCTTCAGTCGTGAGCTCGTGCAGAGATGTCCCAGCTAACACAATGGGCCTCTGGAGAGAAGCATTAGCACAGCCTTTGTGAAGATACTCTTGAGGAGCTGGCTACTTCAACCAAACTATGTAAGTGCCCCATTTCTTAATGTCATAAGCCATTCTTATTTAAGATGATAACAACCTCTTTCTATCTATTAGCTTATGAGATTCCATTTTTGCCTAAGAGGTCTAATTAAAGCAAGGCAAAGATATATTTAATAACATTCCGTTGCCTGAAATAATTATTAGAGAAATCCTTAAGGTTTTACCAGAAAGTAATTCAATGTCTCAAATAAATGTCAAGTTTCCCAATCAAACCAGTAAGAAACTTAATGAGGAGGAATAAATGTCATCATTCTCTATTATTTTCTCATGTTTTTTAAAAAGAAGACAGTGACACACAATGTAGGGAATCAGAATTTATTTTTATATCCCTAGAGTTATAAACATATGTATCAAAATATTTACAATTATAGTATATGAAATAATCTATTAATGAAGAAGCCAAATACAGTACTAGAATAACCCACCAATGCAATGCAAATTACATGAGATGTAAATGTCACAGAAAAAAGTAAAAGACAAGGGAATGCATGGTTCATTTGAATCATAATTTGACTTTTTAACAAAATGCGACTATCTTTTTCTGGCTATAGCTGTCTATCCTTCTGAACATAACATAGCCTTGAACAAGTGTATGGTGATCAAATTGTATTTTAAGAGTTTATTATCTCACAGTTTTTTCTGGCCGATATCTCTACCCTTGGCCTGGCAATTTAGTAATCCACCTTCAACATTCCCTTATACATAATACACATAGAGAAATATACTTAGTAATAGTCCCTTTACATAAATACCAGCAATTATAGCATAACAACTCCCCCCTGTAAAGACATGTGTATAAGAATTGGATAAGGCTATCCCTAGGAAAAAGAATGAAGGCAAGATGTCTCAGGCTCTTCCTAGGGGTGATCTTCTAAGGGCAATAAAGAAAACAATTTCTAAAAAAGAAAGCCCTCTAGGCAGAAATCTGAGATGGCTTAAAATAGCTGCTGTAGACAGAGCTCTGCTCACTGAACTAGGTCCATGGCACTACTTCTAAGTCTTACATAGGTGTACCCCTATTGCCCCAACAATTCAGCTACCATCTGACTGGATTCCCTAAGAGTTTCTTCTGTGTTAAAACGAAACTATCTGCCCATCACCTGGACTTTATGTCTCATGGGATTTAATTTTTTTTTCCTGAGAGCAGGCACACTGTCCTTACCATGACTGAAATGTAGTATGCTTAATACTCCGTAACCAGGCAGCACCTCCCCACCCCACCCCCAGGGCTTATTCTTTGGTTTAGGTTGGTATACGTTTTAATTGGCTCCCAGGATTGCCATCTTCATCTGGAAAACAGTGTGGGGAAATTTGTTGAGAGGGGACCACTCCAGCCAGGGTCACAGCTGCAGTGACCACTGAACTTCGATGTTCTGTTCCCCAGTGTTGATCATGATTAGACAGAACTTCCTCAAAGGTCCCTAATTCGGAAGAAGCTCAACAGAGTCATCTGGTAAGGGGCCACATGCATCCCTCGCCTGTTCCATTTACAAGAAACGTTATGTGCATTGGGGGTGGAATCCTAAAAACCACCACCTTACTGTAGCACTGTGGTAGGTGTGCCCTTTGACCCTACAGCATGGGGCATTTTCATCTTTGGCTCTGAAGAATCTAGAGAAACTCCAGAAAAGCTGCCTTGGCTGTGAGCTAGAGTCCAGCAGGAGGCCTCCCTGAGAGACACCTCAATGACGTATGGCAGAGCCTCTGCCTGCCTCAGTCCATCTCCCAGGTCCTCCAGGGCAGAAACTTCTAGTTCTTGGTGAAGCCAATCCCACCAATTTGACCTTATAAACCATCTCTCGATTCTTTTGTCAGAAAGGCCACCAAATAGGGGCAGTGACTTCCTGGTCACCAAAGGCACTTGGGATCTGAATTTGGTGTTTGGCTCTAGTGTCACAGGACAGGGTGGCCTCCAGACTTAGCCTTCTCAACCAGGAGGCAGTATCTGCTTGTACCACTATGGGAACTTGGTGATATAGGTTTGGAAGACCTCAGTGTGTGACCCAACTCGTCACCCTCAAGAATGGAACCAGTTGTCTGGCAGCTGGTCAGGCCCCAAGTGGCATTATGTAACTGAGGACAGATGGAGGGCTCTCCAGTGGCCTCAAGGAAGCATCAGCACAGTAGCCAACAACTTTCTTCCAAGGGCGGGTGCTTGGCAGTAGAGAATCCCAAACCCCCCCTCAGAAAGGTTTGGGTTTGGGCCTCTCTCACCCGTCCTTCCCCTTCCCCTCCCCCCTCCCTTCCCTTGGTTATTCCTACACAATGACTTCTGCTGCCCTCCCAGATTAAGCCGCTTCCTCCTCCCCACTCCCGCACCCCACCCCTCTCCCAGTTCCCAAAAGCCTGTTCAGCTCATTTCTTCCTCAGGACCATATAGAGAATGCCAATAATGAAACTGAAGCAGAAGCAAATCCAGGTCAGGATGAAACAGTAGCCTTGGTGGTCGTTAGAGGTAACGTTCATTTCACGGTGGGCATAATGATGAGTATAGATAGACACTCCAACCAGGATGCAAAACCCTGCAGGGAAAAAGACACTGTCATGGATGCCACCAAAGTGGTTTGCTTTTTGTTTTTGTTTTTTAAAGATCCCATTTCCCTCTACTTGTTTGTCCCTAAAAGGTCGCTCTGTTGGTCTGCCCAGATCCAGGCTTGATGGCGTGTTGGTGAATTAGAATTATCTAGGCTCTCATATCTACATTGGTTTGTTTATAATGAAGAATAAATCATGGCGAATCCTGCTGGCCATCTCCTTTCTCACCCGGACCCTGGTGTGTCTGGGTATGGTGTTATGAGACCAGCATGACCTTTTACCAAACTGGGCATTTGTTGTGTGTATTATGATCATGTTCTGACAAATAAAGCTTGCTTGGAGTCAGAGGGTAGAGCTAGCCACTAGCTGGCCATAGAGGTTTGGAGGACTGAGGACAGATAGGAGACAGGAAGTCATAAGTTGGGGTGGAGAGAGGATCTCAGCCCTTTTGGATGGAGGGAGGGTAGACTTAGGAATCGGCTACGGCTGCTCCACCTGCCTCTCTGATCGTTCCGGTTTTTACCCCCATAGCTGACTCCCGACTTTTGATAAAGATTAATTAGATTAACACTTCAGGTGTTTCTGGGAAGGTGGAGAAGGTGGTGTCCTGTAACAATTGTGCACTTCATGGCAGTAGCTGCATCATTCTGGGGGGCTACGGATGCTGCTCAGACACTTGGTGGCTCCTAGGGACCTGAGCTTTTTAAACAACTTAACAGATGCGGGTTGGTGGTCCACTGGCAATAGCAGGTCATCAGCGGACGACGGGAGGAGGGAAGAGCCTAAGGTGGCTTCACACGGCCATGTGACGTCTAGTAAAACACGCCTTGCATGGCTAGGGATGTGTGTAGTTCAGTAGTCAGGTGTTTGTTTAGCCTTTCAAGGCCCTGGGTCCAGTCGCCAGCAAGGGGGAAGGGGAGTAGCTCCCAAGTAAAACAGACTCTGCCCCGGATACTCACAGCACACCAACATGGTGGACCCTGAGAGGAAGAAGCGGTTCCCCTTCTCCATGGTGAAGAGCTGGACCACGAAGACCACAAGGGAAATTACAGAGAAGATGATGGAGAGGATCATGAAGGCTTGCACTGCCTTGAGAGCATCTGCAAACACAGGGCAGGGCAGGAGGAGCATTAGACAACCTGAGAGTCTGGACATCTTCCTGACCACGCCCATGGCGGGCTAGGCATGGGTGCTCCCACTCATACCTTCATTGCCATATGTCAGGGAGCCACCACAGTCGCCATTGGTACAGTTCCTCCAAAGCCCTACCGAGGATTTTACATCGTGAGAAACCATCCAGACCTGAAACCAGAGATGGGATTGATTAAGAATTGCTCTTCTGCTTTCTGAAGAGAACAGCGTCGTGTTCAAATCTTCACCAAGATGCCCTATGCAACGGTAAATACGGCAATTGGATCCAAAGTCACAAAGGTTCCGAAACTGAACCGTGGACCAGAAAAGAAGTCGCCTCCCCTCTTTGGACTCCATTATTCATAATGTGACACACACACACACACACATACACACACACACACAGAGCTGAAGAAAGTTCACCGTAGTGATTTAAAATTCTAAAGTTCTAAGGAGCAAAAGCTCTGGATGAGGAAATGAACATTGAATATGTACAGTAAAAGACTCACATTTAAGTACCCAGCTTAAAACAAAAACAGTGAAGTCAGGCCTTGTAGCAACTGCCTGTAATTCCAGTACTCTGGAAATGGCACAGGCTTTAAGTCATCAGATGGTAAGTCTGAGGCCAATTTGGCTCCATGAGACTCTGTGTCAAAAGATAAAAACAAAATTGGCCCAGCAATTGAGAACATCTACTACTCCTGCAAAAGGACTGGAGTTTGGTTCCCAGCACCCACACTAGGAGACCTGTAACTCCGGAGTCTTGGGCCACAACACGCAGCAAAATGTGTAGCCCAGGCTGGCCTCAATCTCACGAACCTCTTGTCTCCGCCTCTTTCAAGCAAATCTTACTGTCACTTAGTCACTTTACTTCTTAGTCCAAGAAGCTGGCTCATTTTGCCTGAGACAAGGACAATACAAGCAAATTGGGAACTGAAAATGACCACTAGGGGTCAGAGTAGCCCCGGGTTGGGAGAGCAAAGACCAGTGATCTCCCTATGATGGTTTTGTTATCTGGTTCACCGGGAACCAAGTTAGTAAATCCTGTCCAATTCCGTTTCACACACCGATTTCCACTCAACACTAAAATTTGTCAATCTAATGACTAAAACAGTGTTCTTATTCTCTCACAGTCACCTACCCTCGCATCACAAGTTTCTGCAGGAATGAGGGACCTTTGCCAGCCCTCCCGCGGGAACATTCACACTTTCTTCCACTTCCCTCTAGGCAGAGCCCCACCACCTACTCAGCCCCCAAACGCACTTCAATCTCCACCTTTGGTAGAGAGGATCCTCCTAGAAGCTGGAGGTCCTCCTGGTACTTCCCACCTCCCAGCACCCCTAGAATCACTCACAGACACTAGCTTTTCACACTTTGGGTGTATTTCAATGTTGGATGTTCGAGTATGTGTTTGATCTCTTTCCCCCACAGCTAGGCTAGAACCCCTCCCCCATTTTTCTTAGCATTTTTGCAGAACTGTTCCAAAGATCCTTCCGCGGATGGATGAAGGGGAGGCTAGGACTCACGTTGGAGATGGTGGAGACAAATAGCATAATAGCGGTGGCGATGTGGACCACGAAGATACCGGCAAGTAGCACCAACATCTTGGCTTTTTGGTGACTCGGGAGCTGAGAGTTCTGAAACAAAAGACAGGGGAGACGGAAAGGTTACTTTCATGTTAAGTCAAACAAACCCCACCTTTTCACTTCCTGGGCTCTCCCTTAGCATGAGACAAGTGTGGCAGGTTTTAAAACTCAAAATTGCACCAAAAGTTCCCAGAAAGAGCCTTTCAGCTAACCTGATTGATAGCCCTAAACGCCTCGTCATCTATGTAGAGACGGGTACTTCTGTTTTGTTCCTACATGCTTATAGACCCACTCCTTTAATATGTTATCTAACCCCCCCGCCCCGCCTTTTTCTTAAAAGGACTATTGTATTTTTATAAGACCTGCTAATGCTTTGCTTCTGATTTAGAGGCCAAAAGCAGGGCTTTGAATTTTAAGAAGGATTCAGAAGCATCATTTTGCATAAGGAAAGCACCCATGCTCCCAGCAAAATGCTCACCCAGCAGTCTGAATAGAAATGATGTGTTCTGCAGAACAAGCTGCTGTTACTCAATGGCTACAGAGCAAATCGACTACTAATTTGATCCCAGATGAGAGGTAAAATGGGCGAGATCCTACTTCTGTTATTACCATGCTCTTTGGCATCCAATATTACGACAACCTAATGGCCCAATCGCTTTCTGATTTAGCACTCCAGACTAATATTTGCAACACCTGAGCCTTTGGCCCTGCATGCCTTTTGGAGGCGATGATGTCTAGTGGAGTTTAGGGCAATGTTAGATTTCCTACGGCTCAACATGACAGCTCTGGGGCCTCGGAAGTGTAAAGCCTGAGATAAGACCAGATGTGCCTTTCACTAGTGTGTATTGTATGAGCAACTCCGGCCACTCAGGCCCAGCCCAGAAGACAAACAGATGAATAAATCACTGTTGGGAGGAACAGGAACTAATATAAATTAACAATGTGTGTGGGTAAACAAACGTTCTCAGCAGTTATTTCAGCAGAGACCACTAATCGTAAAAACTAGGACCAGAAAGAAGTGTGAGGGGAGCCCACGAGGATCGAGGTCAGCTGCATCGTCTGTCGTTGAGACAGTTAGATGCAGAGCCAGCCCAGGGAGACATCAAAAGGAAAGGGCTGGAGGTTACTCACCCTCTAGGCAGGGAGTGCACGCGTGCGGATGCCACAGCCTAGGAGATGGCGGCTTGTAGCCTGCAATTGCTTTGCTTCCCCCTGGCTCCACCTGATTTAATTGATGCTTTGAGTGGGCTCTAAGCCACTTTCATGCTACACTGGGCATTCATGAGAACACCGATACTATCATTATCCTGACATTTCAGGTGTCTTTTATCTCCTCTCACTTTCTCATTGGGCTCTCGGAATCAAACGGGATCTACTGCACACCTGGGTTCTTGGCTCTTTGTGGCCACTGGCTTCTGCTCTCCCAAGACCTTTTCTCCCACTGGCTACTTCCTTCCTGTTTTGGGGGTGGGGCAGTGAGGGAGAGAAAGAATGTTTCCAATTTAACTATGAATGACAAAGCTGATAGCGTTTTCCTGCCGCCTCTGGGGTGAGACTGGAGTTTTCCCTTCTGAATCCTCTCTCCTATTGTTCACTGCTGCTTTACTGGAGTTCTTGCAAATCTCCAAAACTTCCATGCATGGAGGAAGGGGTTTTCGATTCGTTTTGTCTGTTTTTCAGTTAGAGGCCGTCAGAATCATTCCAAGTGCCTTGGTCTCTGCCTCGGTTTCCTCATAGAGGGGGGTGCGGGTGAAGAAGCTGATTATACCGTGTGAGGATTCAACTGGATTATAGAATGAAATACCTTGTGTTGGCTGCGTCTAGCGCGTGGCGGGTACTAAAACGGGGTTGCCAGGATTGCTGTTATTGTTACTGTTTTTCTTCTATGAAGCAGAATCGCTGTTGCCATTCCAATCCAGTTACTCAATCACAGGCAGCCCCATGTCAAGCACAAGCTAAGACAGGGCGGCCTGTCTTACCAGGCAGCATATGGCTAGAATCATGTTGGTCCTCGGAAACTGTCACTTTTATCTAGTCCTTGCCCCTTGAGTGGGAAAAAACTAAGAACACACCCTCCAGAGTCGGGAGAAAGCTAGCTTTTCTGAGCCCATTCCTCTGACACCAGGCTGGCCCCTCCAGAATGAAGCCGACTCAAGGCAGGAAATTACGATAATTACATAATAGGTACTTGAGTTCAACCCTCCTCGACCCTTTAATGACCCTCTTGTTCCTTTTGCTTATAATTTACAAATAGCCTCCTTATATTGAGAAGTGGTTGAGGAGCCAAGACCGGAATATAATCCACCAAGTGAGGTCTCTTTAAACGAGTTGCCCGCCAGGCGGGTGGAATTTGGGAACCTTTCTGTCTCCTTGGATGCCCTGGGATCCCACCCACCAGAGTCCATCTTGTTTCACCCCAGTGGCCCCCTCGTCATGTCCTAGAAGCAGGTCCTCTCCCAGCCACTGAGACACACGTGCTGTGTTTTCTCACTGGAGCAAGGGAGCAACGCAGCTCAGATCACAGAGTGTTCTTAATGAACAGGACGCTAACACTGTCCTCCCTGCGGCTGTGTGCAGCCCCTGTGGAGGCTGTTCAGGCAGAATCACTGCATAATACACATAACTTCATCTTTTCACTCTCCCAAATTTGTCAGCTTTTATCAGTGAAATCCATTGTCCGCTGAGAGGGGCTTCCTTTTTTTTGGTTTGCTTGATTTTTGGTTTTTGAGACAGGGTTTCTTTGTGTAGCCCCGCCTGTCCTAGAACTTGCTTTGCAGACCAGACTAGCCTTGAACTCAGAGTTCGAGGAGCATCTGCCTCCAAAGCGTTGGGATTAAAGGTGTGTGCCTGACGCTTCCATTATTTTAAATATCCATCTTCCAAAATACTTAGAAACACAGTGGAACATTTTAGAAATTTCTGTCTTGCATCACCCGTGGTTACCCAGCCTCTGAATTATAGAGCCTAACCCTTGTCCACTCATTCAAGGACAGTAGTTCTCAACCTGTGGGTCTCAACCCTTAGGGAGTCAAATGACCCTTTCATAGGGGTTACATATCAGATATTTACAATTCATAATGGTAGCAAATTTTCACCTATGAAATAGCAGCACGCGTAATTTTATGGTTGGGAGTCATCACAACATGAAGGACTGTATGAAATGGTCACAGCACTTGGAAGGTTGAGAGCCACTGATCTAGGAAGATAAAACCCTCAGGGTCTTTATGGGAAACTACCAGAGGTGGCTGATGAGTTTCTGAGAACCTAGTAAGCTGCGAAGTCCACACTCTTGAGACTTCCACCCACGATGGTCTTTCGTAACTTGTCCATTGACTCATTCCTTGTTCAAAAAGCAAGACCCTTTCTGGACTCAGGATGTACCCTGCGGATACAGCATTTGCCTTACATGTTCAGAGCCCTGGAATTGGTTCTCAGCACCACCACCAAAACCGAAAACCAACACATAGAACTATTAAAAACAAAGACTGCTATAGCTTCTGTCTCACTAGAGCAATAATGGAATTCTGCCTCCCTCCTATTTCTCCAAAATGCTGTGGTTGGCATTCTCCGCTGGAAGACACATTCCTCATCCTCGACGGATGAACCAAATCCAGGAGCAAGAGCACACAGCACCACAGCTCTGAATGATCCGTGGTAGCCCTCCCTCCCCTCTTTCGGCATGGACAGACCCAAAGTGTGTCATCTGTTACTGGGGACTCTCATACCAAGAATGTGACTTTTATGCTCCCCATCATGGGCCACCACACCTGGTTACTTCACACAGTTTTGAAGGGTTTGGAAGTGTGGTGGCTTATGTGGACACCAAGAACGCTTTTCTTGGACCTTCCCTCCCAAGAGCACAGCAGTCTCCCCATCTGCACGGTGTGATTGGCATGGGTGTGGCCAGGGTCCAGGGGAACTGAGAAACAGACAAAAGACATGAATGACCACACGAGAAAGAAGTAACTATCGGGGAAGCTAGGGATCAAAGACTTGGAGACAAGTGTAGCTGGAAATCACTACGTAGTCCAAACCAGTCTCAAACTTGTGGCAATCCTCCTCCTTCCTTTGTGCTGAGCTACCAACCTGAGTGTACAGAGCTCTACAACTCACTTGAGACCAGGTGAGACTCTTGCCAATGAGACAGTCTCCATGGATGACGGCAAGACGGTACAAGATGCTTCCTGGGACCACATCTGCAGATCTGGCTGACTGAAACCAGTTTAGTTAGTTCTGGGGGTTGGGGTAGCTAGGAACCTAAGATAGTCCATTATTGGGAAGTAAAGAGCAGTGATGGTCCAGCTGCCGCTTCTGCCTCTCCTTGGTTTCCTGTCCAAAGCATCACAGTCACCTGTATGATCTTGTTCTGGGTCCCTATTACCCCCCCCACCCCTTTGTCAGGATCCTAGCCTGGATGCTGGCATCAGCCCCTCCTATGACACTTCTCTAAACTGCCCCCTCCATGCAGTCTCTGTACTGGTATTGGGTTATCTGACCATGTCCCTCCTCAGCCTACAAACCTCTGTCCTTCCACAGCTGGGACAAGCACCAGTCCCCAAGAAATGAGACTCTAGACAGCAGCCAAAGGAATCCTGGGAATTTGACTTCCAGAAGTGAAAGCTGCTTTTCTGTCCTTCCCTGAGTAATTGCCCAAGCTCAAATTCTGCCTCCTCCTTCTTTCCATGGGTCTGAAGTAGGGTTTTCCCCCTTCCAGTTAATGTTATAGCCCTTATTCAGTCCTAATAAAGGCACTAATGGCAGCCTGCCTGGTGACAGAACTCTTTATGGACATGTTTGGCTCCCCCACCCTGAAGAGTCTGAGTTCCTAAGGGCAGAGTCTATGACAGGTACCAGATAAACTTCATTAATGAACAAATAAAGAGCTAGGCAGCAAAATGTCTTCTTCAAAAGGGAAAAATCACTGCAAAGTGACCAAAGGCCTTAGAAGGAATACAGATGTCTCCCCTCTTTTTTCAGTTTTCAGTTTATATTTTATGTGTATGGGTGGGGTTTTCTCCTTAATGTATGTCTATGTACTGTGAGCATGTATGGCACCAGCGAAGACCAGAAAATGGTGCCAGATCCCCTGGGGTTACAAGCAACTGTGAGCCACCAGCTTAGTGGGTGCTGGGAATCGAACCCAGGTCCCTTAGAAAAGCACCTAGTGCTCTTCATCACTAAGCCATCTCTCCAGAGCACCCCTCTTTCTTTTAATGAAACATATACTTTAGTCCTCTATCATTTTTAGAAATTATTTGGTACATCACTACAAGTATGGGTTGGGCATATTATTATACACAAACTTCCTATTATTTATTTCCATTTAACTGTTATAACTACTTTTTGTAAGTACAGAACTTCCAGACTAAGAGAGGCCTCTAAAATTGCTTCCAAAGCCAACAAACTCATCTACAAACTCAACCTGAAGAACTATGCAAATCACACTTAAACTCTTCTTGTCCTGGGGAACTACCTATCAAGACCCTATTAGAAAAGTCCTTCCAACACGACATACAGCCCATGGAATTCAAGTATAACTCAACAGGCAAAAATGAGTGCTTGCCTAATCCAGGCATTCTGGCACACACCTTTAATCCAGCATTTGGGAGCCAGAGACAGGCAGATAGATCTCTGTGAGCTTGAAGGCCAACCTGGTCTACATAGTGAGTTCCAGGATAGTCAGAGCTCCATAGTGAGACCTTGTCTCAACAAACGAACAAAAGAGAGTGCTTGCCTGGCATTCGGGAAGCCCTGGGCTCAGTCCCCAGCATCCACATACACAATCCCAGCACTTGGGAAGTAGAGGTAGGAGACTCAGCCACCCAAAGCAGCTACATTGTAGTTTCAAGGTGAGCCTGGGCTGCATCACACACACACACACACACACACACACACACACACACACACACACACACAGTGCAAGGCACAGCCCAATCCTGAGATTATTCTTTTCCTAGAGGCTCCTCCGCCCTTCCATTGGCCAATGCTGTTCTAACAATGAAATTTCCATCTCCTGCTGGTTAACTGCAAATTGGGGTGAAAGCTTTCTCACCATCTGATCAAAGCCCTGGCACTTCCTGCAAGGCAGGAGGGAAGGTTAAGCTTCTCTGGCAGGGGTTGTGTCATGTGACCTTCATGAGTCAGTGTGCACATCTTCCTCAGCGTGACATCTGAAATGAAACTGAGGCTACCTGGGCTTCCTAAGGACATTGCATGGGAGTCTGTCTGCCCTCCTCCATGTGGAGACCATTCTTGCTGTGGTTTGGGTTCGGATGTGTTTGTATTCCCATTGAGGATCGTTTTAGTTGGCAAAATAGATGTCCATGGGACATTAAAGCAAACAAAAAAGGAAGCTCTACCCTTGGGGAGCAGTGTGGAGGATGTATCTGGAGGAGGGAAAGGCTGGGATTAAAGGCAAACTGAGTGGATGGGACCTTGGATGAGCTTTCCTGGCCATTGTTATCGTTGTTTTATGTCATGTGTGCTTTTCCATCCTCAGCATTGTTTTTCCATGCGGATGCAAAGAGAGGCATGCATCACTGCGTGGGAAACAGAGTGCAGGGATCCTAAAGAACCAAGTCTTCCTGCTTCTGGTATGGGATGTTCAGTGTAGGAAGAAAACACTACAGGTTTCCCTTGGTTTTGTATACCCGACACTAGGGCTGATGCTTCAAGTACTGATAGACTCTGTGGCCATACAGGGAACTGTATGATTCAGGTAAATAGCTGCTTCTTTGTGGTCCAAGAGCAAAGGGGACTTCCATCTACAAAGGGGACTACCATCTACAAAGGGGACTACCATCTACAAAGGGGACTACCATCTACAAAGGCGACCCATGATAAATAGCTCAGTCTCTTTGGGGTGAATATAGCCTGTATGGACCGTCACCCACAGTCAGAATATAGAGCCAAAGTGCAAGCTTGAAGAAAAGAAGTCATGTTAGAAGAAAGGAGGAGAGGGAAGAAAAGACACAGAAAGAGAGAAAGGAAGGAATAGAGAGGAAAGAAAGGGGGAAAAGGCATGGAAAAAAGAACAGAAGGGAAAAGCGGGAAGGAAAAAGAGAGAAAGGAGAAAAGACAAGAAAATATCAGAAAGGAAACAGAGAGGGAGGGAAGGAAGGAGGAAAGAGAGGGGAAAAGAGAGAGATGAGAGAAAAAGACAGAGAGATAGAGAGGAGAGAGGGGGAGGGAAGGAGAGAGAGAGAGAGAGAGAGAGAGAGAGAGAGAGAGAGAGAGAGAGGGAGGGAGAGAGAGAGCTCCAATTAGAAAAGGAGGCCAAGATTCTGCAAAACCTGCCTGCTTGGTGGAATATAGGGAGGCAGAGTCCCAAGTGATAAAGAGCACAGACTCTAAGTTCACATTTTTTAAGGGTCACACATGGAACTCATAGGGTTAGCACAAGTGCTGAAGGGTCTGTGCCTAACACAAAGCAAACACTATGCAGTAGGTCATATTTATTCATTAGTGTAACATGAAAGGCTCAGGCCAGTGAGGTGGTCTTGTGGCTTCTCTGTAGCCTGGGAGCCTGAACTATGCCAAAGCAAGCAAATAGAATGAAGATTATTTTTGCAGATGCATCCACAGAGACACTCATGTCCCCGCCACCCCCGTCTCGCGCTTATTTCCGCTTGTCCTCCATTATGTTCATGGAGTGGGTGGGTCTGGACAACATCTGCAGGCCGGGGCTGAGGCCTGAGTTCAGCCCACACCCTCTGACTGCAGCTGGCCAATGCTGGGGAGGATGTCCCCTGGGTGAGGACGGGAGCTTCCGTTGCCTTCCGCTCTTGACAAAGGAGAAGTATTCCTGCTGCCAGATTGTCTTCCAGGGAGATGTTGCCAAGATAATAACTAGGGTTTGGTAAGAAAAATCAAGGTGTGGCTGGGCCCTGGAGGCTTCTGGGTACCTCTGACAGCAGATGGCAGTAACATGCTTCAACCAGCAAAGCCTGAGGGAGTGGGAGGGCTGTGGACAGCAGGGGCTCCCAACTATGCTGGGTCAGCCACTGGCTTGGCTACTTGGAGTTGAGAAGTATTGGGGTCTTTTGGTCATGCCCTTTGACCCCCACCTCCTAGGTAACATAGTTACAATGAAGCTAATATCTTAGCTATCCACCCAGCTTGGTTTTCATCTTTTATCTGAGAGGTGTGTGTGTGTGTGTGTGTGTGTGTGTGTCTGTGTGTGTCTGTGTGCGGTGGTGGTGTTATTGTTGTTGTCATCTGTTTATGAGATGGGGTCTCATCAGTGGCTTGGCGCTCAAGATTTGGCTAGACTGACTGGCTGTGAGCACCAGGGATCCTCCTGTTTCTTTTTCCCCATCCAAGCCACCACACCCGGCTGACTATTCATGTGAGCCCTGGGAATCAAACTCAGATCCTCTTGTTGGCATGACGGGCACCTTATCATTGATCTGTCTCCCCAGCCCCTCCTTTGATTTTTTTTTTTTACGATAGAATCACTATGTGGTCCTGGCTAGCCTTTAACTCACAGCAATCCCACTGCCTCGACCTCCTGTGTCTGGGACTAAAGGCAGGGGGCACCACACCCAGCTCTTGTCTGAGGGTTTGACAGTTCCTAGAGGCGCTGTTCCTCCCACAGGGTTTGAGCTGATCAGAGCCGGACAGCCCCTAACAGTCCCAGTGCTGTACACAAAGGGTCTCTCAAAGGCCACTGCTTCTTCCTGCCACACTGCCTTCTAAGGCACACCCTGAATAGGCAGCTGGCCCCGTCAAACCCCTCACAGCCAGCTCCCAGACTGGTTTCCATCTTCAACCATGGGCCACACCCTCAGCACTGGCTGGGTCCCCTCCCTGTTTAAGCTCAGCAAGCAGCTATGAATGAGCATAGGGGAGCCCCTGGGCTCAGCTGTGGAGCTGTGTGGATATCGTAATTTCTCAAAACTTTCTCCCCTTCCCTTCTCTCAGACCCCAAGGGAAAGAGCTTGGGTTTCAGAAAGCAGAGGTGTGAGACCAAGGCCCGCATTGGACTCTCATCTCTCAACTGACCCTTCCAAATAGTGAAACACGGAACGCTACCCGTGAAACCCAATGGCCCCAAGCGAGCATCCACCATGCCAAAACTAAGAGAAAAAGATCTTCATGGGGGACAAAATTCAGGATTTTGATCCAAGGGCTGTCCTGAGACAGTGGGTGTGGGCGACTGTCAAGAGGAGTCAGAAGTAAGAACAGCCCTGCTGTGTCTCCCTTGCCCGTTTGATTTCTTTCTCTAATCACTTGTCTCTTTCTAGGCTTTTCTGTTTGCCTCACTCCCAAACACGGCCACCCGCCCACTCCCTCTCACTCCCCTTGGCCTTCTCTGGCCTTCCCTTTGTTCCCACCCACACCTGCAAGCCCCCCCCCCGGCTCTCCCTCCTGTGGCTTACTCAGGACCGGGTCTGGTTCTGAGCCTGGCTTCGCTCCTGGTGAACTGATGTTTTTTCACAGGCCCCTCCCCAGATGGTACCCTTTGTTTCATCAACCAACCGAATCTTCCTTCTTGCCACATGCTGGGTGGTGATGTCCAGGGCTATCTCAGGTGAGTTCTTGGATACTGCACTCAGGGAATCTTGGATCAGGAAGGGCAGCACAGACCACCCATTCCCTCCCTTCCTCCCTCTCGCCAGTGCTCGCAAATGAATGCAGAACCATGCACACGCTAGGCCAGCACACTGCCCCTAGTTTCATTATATTAACTTGCATGGATTAAGTTAGCCATTAGTGTGAACTCAAGGAGTTTCCTAAAATAGAAGGAGTGGGTTCTTAGATTTTTTTCTGAGCCTTGGGTGTCTTGGTGGCAAGCTGTTTCTTCCTTGTTTCTTAGTGCCTTGTTTCTGACCACAGAAGATTAAAGGCAAGACCACAGGCCCCTGTATCTACCTACTCAGTCATGTCATACCCTCCCAACAATCATGGACACATGTGCCAACAGTACTGTATTGTGACTGTCTGTTTGACAGAAGACTCACGGGAGAGACGCGGCAAAGTCCAGATCAGCCCAGCTACCTACGACCAAGAGGAGTCTCTTCAGGTCCTGAGAAAGGCTCTTTCCACAACAGAAAAGAAAACATTGACAGCTGGTGTTTTGCTTAAAAGGAAGATTCTGAAGCAACAGTCGGAAGTTTGTATTTTTCTCTTTCTCCTTCAGTGTCAGGGACCCCACCCCATCAAATTGAGGGAAGTGTTTCACAAGTCAGGGTACAGGGGACTGAAGTGTCAGTCTTCTTGTGACTTATATTTAGAAAATGGATGTTAGAAATCCTAGGAGACCCTAAGTTGAACAAGGACAACCCAGAAATTCAGGGTCACCAGAAGAGTATTCCAAAAGCAGGGCTTAGGTCTAGAAAACTCTAGTTCCATGGTAATCAAGAATTACGGCCCTCCAAGGAGTGGATATTCAGATGGCTGACAGCAGACAGAGAGAGAGAGGCTCCTTGGATTGGAGGACTGTTGCCACGCCAGGTTATAAGAGTGTGCATGTATACACTCAGGCACTGTAGATCAAATCAGGGACAATCCCCCAAAGGTTGTTGGAAGCTGTGCTTAAGGAATCAGACTGATTTAACTATGACCCAGTGGACGGCACCATTGGGTATGTCACTCCATGTGCATATCAGAGCTCCAGAGGCCTCTGAAAGCACGCCAGGTACACAGACGTAGTAAACTGCAGAAAAGACCACAGCCATGTGCCTGGAAAATGAAAGAGCTCATAATCAGTAGTGTGGGAATGATTTGACCAGGTGGATAATTTTAATATTGCAAAGCGCTCTTTCTGCTATCAGTTAGTGGTATACACTATCAACCCAGCATTCAGGGTAGTTGAGGAAGAAGGATGGAGAAACTTCTAGGCCCTAGCCTGACATTCGTAGACAGATCCTGGCTCACAAAGCAAAAGAGCTGAGCATGGTGGCATATGACTTTAATCCCAGCACTCGGGAAGCAGAAGTAGGTGGATCTCTGTAAATTCAAAGCCAGCCCGGTCTACAGCCCCATCTCCAGAGCAAGCTCCAGGACAGCCAGGGTCACATAGTGAGACCCTGCGTTTAGAAAATAAGGAAAAAGGGCTGGGGAGATGGCTCAGTGGTTAAGAACACAGGCTGCTCTTCCAGAGGACCCGGGTTCAACTTCTAACACCCGTGTGGAGACTCACAACTGTCTACAACTCCTGTTCCAGGGAATCTGACACCCTCACACAGACATATATGAAGGCAAAACACCAATGCACATAAAATAAACATAAATAAATAAAGGAAAGAATAAAGCACAATAGTGTGGTTACCAATAGTGTGGATAATGCCACTCCACCAAGTCAAACTAATTAAACATTAAATAAAGATGAGGTATCTAGAATAACAGGAGTGTGGCGCATTGGGTGGGGAGCAGCAGAACCAGAATTGAAAACCTTTTTGTTTCTGGGTCATTTCAGGCCCCAAAAACAAGAACTTTCAAACTCAGCCATTTGTGCTGAGTTTGAGAAACTCTGTGGGGTGTGATTTGCTGTCCAGCAGAGAAGGATGGGTGTGGGTGTACATTCTGAGGCATGTACACATATACTCTGCATGCCCCCTCCCTGGTGCCCCGGGAACTTATGAGCCATGGACCATGTGACATAAAAGTTAGATTTCTGCATTCGGTAAGAGAAAAAGATTACGTTCTCATTTCTGTTGTTTGTTTTTGAGACAAAGTTTCACTAACGTACTCAGGTTGGCCCCAGACTGGCTTTGAATCTTTAGCAAATCTCCTGCCTCAGCTCCCTGAGTCCTTGGATTACAAGTGTGAACGCCCAACTTCCAAATTTAAGATTCTGTGAAAGCAATGAAGAATGGAAAGGAATGGATCTAAGTCATCTTGTGTCTTTTCCCTTGGCCACATCCCAAGTTCTGTGGCGGCCACAGAAAGTCAGTTTTGTCTCCAAGGAAATGTGCTCTGCTTCCCACAGCACAGTCCCAAAGCCACCTAGAAAAAGGCACGAGGCCCTGCGTTCCCGCCAGCCTCCACGGAGTCCTTCCTCAGGGCGGGAGACTGGCCTAATCTTGCCTCCAGAGGAGAGAGCAAAGACGGATGAGGAAGCCAGCCAACCTTTCCCAAGGTCTGGGGACAGGCATCTGTAGTCTGGCAGCAGCCACCCCCTTACTCCTGGCCATTACAACCGTCTTAGGACATGATCTGGTCCAGCTGGACCTTGATGGCCTTCTGCCAACTCCTGGGACAGTTTAGTAGCCTAGAGCAATGTAAAATCTGGGGGCTCTCTGACGGGGGTGCCAGGCCGGATGTCCAGCAGCCCTGGACAGCGCTCTGCCTCCGCCATACTCCGCAGGCTCAGGGTGAATCTGCAGCCGCCTGAGGGTGGGAAGCCGGGCGGGGTGCGGGGCCGGGTGCGGGGGTGGGGGGATGGGGGTTGTAAATAGCCTCCTTTCCAGGACGGTCAAAGACTTAAGAGCCTAGAAAAGCCCAGGGACTCTTGCACTACTAGGAGCATAAACAGTAGGAGTTCAAGCAGCGGTTTGTTTTTTTTTTTTAAGAAATAGTACTCCAACTCTGCTGCGGGGCGTGGGGGGGGGGCATTCTCATTTATCAAGGGACAATGGGATTTAAGACAGCTCCAGAGGCCGCCCACTTGGTGGCAGCTTATCTCTCTCCTCTTTTGCTGACTTATTCAGTGAGGGCTGCCCAGTTTCGACCAGATCAAACCACACACAATCGTGTTCAATCTTCACAGGAAACTGTGGCTGTGGACTGCAAACAGCTTCCCTGGTTCACACCCATGCAGTCTGGAAGTAATGAACACTGGAAGCAAAAGCAGTGGTCCCCCAAGTCTTGAGAAGCCGTCCTGGCGCTCACTGGTCACCCCCACCTTGGGAGGAGGGGGAGCTATACAAAGACTTTGACCACTCAAACACAGACTGATTTTTTTTGAATTTTCTCTTCCAACCAGTGACCTGCATTTCTAAAGAAAAAGGCGCTGCAACTTCATAGGCAAGCTGAATCCTGTCACTCTCCTCACGCTTGTTTACGAGAAAAAAAAACCCACATCTGTGTTGAAATGAGCCACACCTCCACAGACATTCAACCAAAAGCTAATAAAAACAAAAGCAAGCAGTGCCTTGGTTCATTTGGCACTTAGCACGTGGGTTTGTAGCTATACAGTATTTGGGGGGGAAAGTAATAAGCTGAATACCCTCAAACGACTACTGCTGGAAAATTCCACGTCCACTCAGAAACTTCTTCAATCGATTGTGATAGATCTCTGTCGCTGGCTCTGAAATGCGGCTGGCTGGCGGAGAGGCACAAAGCCACCGGCAGCTTTACAGGAATGCCAGAAGTCGCCCGGCCCCACCCTCTCTTCCCCCACCTCCACATCTGGCCAAGGATTCCGGAATCCACGCCAGTCTTCCTGTCCCACCAAAATCAACCCCTCCCAAGTTTTATTTGAAACACCCTTTGCCTCTGTTTCCCTAACGGTTTTTCTTTAAACAAACCAATCCCCTCTTCCCATCCTGCTGGAGGGGTGGGGGTGGGGGGTGGGAGAAAGGAAGAAATAAAATACTTAAACAGACACGAACAGACGAGGAGGGGTGGCAAATGCATTAGCAAAAGCAAACCCAGGTATTTATCCAAAATCTCTCCCAAAGCCTAAAAGACCAACAAACAACCCACAAAGCAAAGGAAACTTGCTCTTCAGAGATTAACCTCCGTAGGAAAAAAAAAAAGGAGGGGGGGTGAAGTGTGCTCATACGATAACATCCCTTCACCCCAAAGCAATTTAAATCAAAACGGAAGATTTGGGAACATCATTCAAGCTTGCTTTTGGTGCACTTTGAAGGCACGTAGAGCTTCCTCCATAAAGAACATTCCACTCAGGTTGTTCCAAAGTCCCTGTCCCTTCCACATCCTCCGAGCAAGAACCCAGATAGCAGCGAGAGAACGTGACCACAGCCGGGGCCAACCGATGTCCCCGATCCCCGCACTACTTTGTGAGCCGGAAGTTTCAAGGACTCTCTTCTTTGAAAGCTGTAGAAGGCAGGCAGAGAAAATAAGAGAACAAACGGCCTCAGCGCCCTTAAACGGCGGAAAGCACGACGGAACCGGGCCTGCAGAGTTTCCCCAGTGTGGGAGCGGAGCGGTCCTACCTGGAGCGTCAGGCGACTGAGGCAGATGCCCTGAGCGGTGCTGGAGCTGGCTGCCGGTCCGGTCCGCTCTTCAGGAGGTATGCAGCCACAGTGAGGGGAGGGACCTGCCTCCCGAGGTTATAAGTTTCCTGGGCTGGTGTGCTGGGGTGTGTGATGGGCGGTTTCTTTCCCCTCTGTTTTAAAGGAGTTTCTATGAATCAGTCTGGATTAAAAAAAAAAAAAAAAGTTAGTGAGCTACGCCCTGCTAAGTTGGCAGTCAGTCAGAAGCGGCTGGGAGTGAGCCATCAATTCAAAGAACCCTGTTGTAGCTCCCTCTGAGTCAGACACACAGACCACAGTGGAAAAAAGGGAGTAACATTGCTTCGAATGAGTAATAGGAGTCACACAAATATGTCTGTTTACTGAAGCCCATTTCTGCTCCCCAGAAAGGAGACTTGGTTGCCACAGACAGAGCAAAACACAGGTTAGGGTCAGGGGGGGAAGGGGCGGGGTAGGGACAGCCCTGTGTTCGTTAACACCCCGGCTAATTGTCAGACAGGATTCCCCTCTTGGTCCCTCATCACCAGGCATTATCCCGTGCAGTTCTCATTGGCTTCCCTGCCTGACCCTCTCGCCCTGACCCGTGGGAGGCTGTGGGATGAGGCTCGTGAACACCAAGTAGAACAGCACCCCAGCAAGCTCTGCATGCTAGGGCACTGATTGACAGCAGGCAATCCTGGATCTTTAATTACGCTCTCCTGCCCTTATAGACGGTGTGCATTGCTGGAGGAAGTCTTCGAATTGCGGACTTGGCACTCCGATCTTCATGTGATAACCGTTTGGACCTTGTTCCACAGGTGGCCTTTGGGAAGTCAGACAGGAACATGATCATCCCAGCTTCCTGCCTGCACCATTTTCCTTTTAATCTCCGAGTAAGGGAGGGGGTCTACAGAGTCCTCTAAGCCCACAGCTCTGGCCACCTCACCCAAGAGGTTCAGGTCCTGGGCGCCTACATTTAATGCCAGCTCTCCTTACTAGCAGTGTGACTATGGCGCAAAATACTTCAAATTTCCCTTCCTTGTGCATGTAATGGGAGCAGCAGGAACCAAGTGCACACATATGGCCAGAAATACATGTATCAACACGTTGTGGCGGATCATGCCTGAAATCTCAGCATCTGAGAGGCTGAGGCAGGAGGGTTGCTGTCAGTTCAAGGTCATCTTGTGTTCTAAGCCTGCTTGGGCTACTGAGTGAGACTAACCCAAAAGAGAGAGAGAAGCTAAAATAAAAATAAATGTATGTAGACAGGGTGACACCTAAAATACCAGCAATTGGTTGGTAGTGGAAGGAGAACCAGAAGTTGAGGGTGAGTTTGAGGCCAGCCTGGGATGCATGAGACAGTGAGTGAGTGAGTGAGTGAGTGAGTGAGTGAGTGAGTGAGTGAATGAATGAATGAATGATATAGACCTACAAGGTTGTGCACAGTCGTCATTCAATATTAGCTACCATGATTACTTCCCTGAAGACATACCTAAACAGGAGAAGTGACTCCTCAGGAAGTATAGAAGTTGCTGCAGCTGCCAGCCCCCGGGAACCTTGTTGCTGCTCTTCTGGACTCCTGACATCTTCCCATCCATTGCCTGCCTCTCGTTACTTATTCATTTAGCCAACCAACATTTACTGTGCAGTAACCTTCCTGGGGCCTGCTAAGAACTAGGTTAGAGAAGTGGACTGGATTCCTACCCTCTTGGAACTTAAATTCTATAGAAAGACAGAAAGGGATGGGCAGCAGACAGCCAACAGAATGTTGATAAAGGTAGGTGGCAAAAGCGTAAGTAAATTTCAGTAGTGCTAGGTTGCGTGTCTGTATTTCTCCAAATCTTCTAGGAAAGAGAATGTTTTTTAAGTGGATGATTGAGAAAAGCACACACACACACACACAAACACACACACAGACACTCACACACACACGCACACACAGACACTCACACACACTCATACACAGACACAAACACACTCACACAAACACTCAGGCACACATGCACGCACACACACTCACACACAGCCACTCAGACACACTCATACACAGACACAAACACACTCACACAAACACACACTCACACACACAAACACTCAGGCACACATGCACACACACACTCACACACAGACACTCAGACACACACACACACAGACACTCAGACACATGCACACACACTCACACACACACACTCAGACACACACACTCACACTCACACGCTGATTGAATGCTTCCCTCTTCACAAATCCCTGAGAATGGAATTCTACCCCTGAAAAGGTAAAACTGTCTAGATTTTTCATTAAAAACCGATGACATGACAAAGATTGCATCAGTTTCTCATGCTTGTCTTCACCTCCCACCAACTGATAATAATAATAAAAAATGCTCGTCTGGAAGAAGCCACTCCCAGCAGTGGGCTGGGGCTCCTGAGAGCTTCACAGCCCAACGTGGTGGCGGGAAGGAGGGTGACAGACTGGTGGGGCTTGAACTCTCTGAGCTGTCGGGATGTGAGCCCCTAACTTCATGTCTTCTGCCAGTTTGAGGCTCACTCTTTCCTCAGCAGAGTGTAAAGGAGAGCTGGGTTCCAGGAGTCAAGTCCTGAGCACACTGAGGAGAACTTTTGGTGGTTGTATTTTTAAAAAAGAGAAACCTGGAGCCTGTGCGTGTGGAGGGAGGGGCTCCAACAGCAGACACAGCAGGGGGCTCTAGTTTTTCTTCTTCTGCCTGGCAGTGGAGGGGACACAGAAATCTGCCTCCTACATTGCAACCAATGTAAGCAGGCCCTGTGGCTTTCCAGACAGACCTAGTAAATCTCACTGTCCTGTGCACTTGGAGATGTTTACGTGTGGAGAGAAATGTTAGATGTGTTGAGCTTTTACACACACACACCCAAAATGAGAGGGGGGGGGGGGGAGGGAGGGTGAGATCCATATAAAGGTAAATATTTGTGCCAATATATTTTATATTTACATGCCACTCAGGAATCCTAATCTCATAGCCTTAGGGCATCCCTGAGCTGGTTTATAAAATAATTTCAAATCTAGGGAAGACTCTAATCTATTTTGCTGCTAGTGTCACTTATCAAACCTCTGGATGTGTGAAAACATTGTGACTAAGGCCCAGTGTTGTGGCGCACACCTTTAAGTCCAGAACTCAAGATGCAGAGGCAAACAAATGTCTGTAGGCCTACCTGGTCTATACAGAGAATTTCAGAACAGCTGGGCCTATAGAGAGAGACCTTATCTCAAAAAACAGTGTGACTGTGCTGAGAATGTGTGACTCAGTTAGCAGAGTGATTATCTAGTTTACATGAAGACCTTGGTTCGATTCCCAACCCCAAATAAAACTGATGGCAGAGATGCTTATCTATAATGCTAGCACTTGGGAAATGGAGGCAGGAGAAATCAGAAAGTCATAGTAAATTGGAAGCTACCTAGGATAGAAGAGACCCTGCCTCGAAAAATAAAAAACAATAAATAAAATATAACGCAGCATCTTCTTCTTGCCTCGGCCATAGGTGCAATTGTGACTTTGGACAACGAAGTTGCGCACTGGGCCGGGAACGGGGCTCTCTCTCTGGCATCTAAAGAGCTATTTCAAGCAGTTCAGAATAATCTACTTTGCTCTGCTCTGTTGCCATTTCCCTCCCTAGCAAAGTGGATTAAGGAGGTTCATTTCCACAGAGCCAGGCACGACTTCGTGGGACCTCAGGAAAGGCCTATATTCTTGGGAAGGAATGTGTCCTCCGGCCCCTCTTTCTGCATCAGCAAGACTCTCCTTCAGGCATCTCGCCCTGTAGGGCAGACTTTTAAGTCTGTGCTGGTGTAAACACTTTTAATGAAGGCTTAAATTGGGAACTTCTGTTGTCTGAAACTGGGAGAATTCTGCTACTCGGGGTCTGGCTCCAAAGCCCACAGGAAAGGGAACTAATATAGGCTTGAAAAACTATGAGAATCTATCCAATAGGAATCCTAATCTCTGCTACACGATTCCCCCCAAAGGTGGTATGCTCGGGGAACACTAATGTTCACATTAGCAAACACTGTTTCAAACAAAACAGGTTGCAAAAAGCATATACAGTTATGCAGCTCTCCCCGGAGTTGAAAAGTCTGCTCCCTGCTCCTCTTGAAATCTGAGAATTTGGCAACAACTCCCCCTTCCTTCCTCCTGCTTCCTTCCTTCCTTTCACTTTTCCCACTGTGCCTTTTGTGTTTTTCCCTCAGGCACTTTTCTTCTTGCTCTCGCTGTTGTCTTTCTCATGCTCCTCTCTGTAAATGCAATTTTTAGTTTAGTCTCATAAAATGAGAAGTCTCCAAGAATCCCCTCATTTCATGGCTCTCGGCTAGCTTGTGCTGAAGGAAAGATATCATGGATGAAATTCCAAGAGGGCTCCAAACATGTGGACCCGAGGCCTCCAGCTGTGCACAGGGGACCAGCTTGAACCGGCTTGCACCGGCTTGCTGTTGAAGAGGCATTTGCTGTTTCAGAAGGAAGCTGGGTGGACCAAGACATCTGACCACACTGGACAAAAGTCCAACCTAGCAACATATGGGCAAGTTCTCAGGTTGATACCAATCGTGGAGACAAGTTTCTTCAGGCATGATGTATACAGATGGCCCAAAGAACATGTCCTCTTTTTTGGAGTGCATCCCCTAGGGATATGGTTTTTATAACCAGGAAAGAACAACAAACACACAAATAAGAAGTGAAATCAAATATAAACGCGAGCTAAAGGAACAAAAATACTCTTTCTTTTCCCAGCTCGTGTCAGTGACAGTATTAGATGTCTTGAGTAAGCAGGGTTTCCTTTCCACTTTGCTTCTTCTGTCAGGAAAGCATCATTCCTTCTGCTTCATGGACCATTTCAGGTGAAGGACTGAATATTCATAGTGAGAAAGAGGCCATCTCTGCTGTGCTTTGAGGTGGTCAAGCAATCAGCAGATAACATTTGCACAGCGGGTATTCAGCTAAAGTCTAGCTCATTCGACCAACTCACCTCTCATAGCCAAGCAAATGAGTCTCATGCTCTCCTTCTTCAAGCTGTGTTTCTAAAACTTAGAAAATGGTCGCAGCACCCCTCTACACTGAGATCCCACCACTGTGGAGAATACAGTGTTTTTAAAGTTATCTGAAGGAAATTGTCATGGAAGAGG